ACCAACAGAGCTAAGAGACAACCTAGAATGTGGGAAGAAATTTTTAGCAGCTGTACCTCAGACAAAGGACTACTATCTAGAATGCATAAAGAACTGAAAAAAATCAGACTCCCCAAATTCAAAGACCCAATTCAAAAATGGGCATCTGAAATGAACAGACATTTCTCAGACCAAGAAATAAAAGCAACAAATGAGCATATGAAAAAATGTTGAACATCACTGGTCATTCAAGAGATACAGATGAAAACAACACTGAGATCCCACCTCACCCCAGAAAGAATGGCTGCTGTCAAGAAATCAACCAATAACAAATGTTGGTGGGGTTGTGGAGAGAAAGGAACCCTTCTCCTTTGTTGGTTTGAGTGCAGACTGGTGCAACCACTATGGAAATCAGTATGAAGACACCTCAAAGAACTTGGACTCGAGGTCCCATTTGACCCAGCTATTCCACTGCTGGGTACCTTCCCAAAAGAATTAAAAGAATCATACCACAGTGACCTATGTGAACCCATGTTTATAGCAGCACAGTTTGTAATAGCGAAATCTTGGAAGCAACCCAAGTGCCCATCAACTGGAAACTGGATAAAGAAGATGTGTTTTTTTTTTTTTTATAAAATGGAGTACTACTCAGCCATAAAGGAGAGAGACATTTATAGCTAAATGGATCCATATTGAGGCCATACTCTTAAATGAAATAAATAGGAAACACATGCGTAAATGCCGAATAGTTTCTCTGGTGTGAGAAACTGAAAGAGTAAATAAGGATTAAAATGATTAAAATGAATAATTGATAATTTTAAATAGGAAGAAAAGGTCCAAAGGGTTGGGGGAAGTGGTAGGGAAAATTAATTTGTCAATTAGGTGAACATCTGGGTTTTGGTTCATCACTTCCCTTGGAAACCTTGATTAATTTATTAGATTTTCATCCCCATTTACTAAAAAAAGCAGTGAATCACACGGTATCACACTCCAATGATGGCAAAAGTTAATTGGAGTCCACATCTTTTCACATTTCTCCCTTCAGCAATTCTTTGCTGCTTTGAGTGGAACTATGTGCTAAGGGAGGCTGTGTGTTTTTTTGTGTATGAGAGAGATACAGAAATGAGAGGAATTACAAGTAATTGAAATGTGAATTTGAAAAAAAAATAAGAATATGTTTTTATTTCCTTTGATTTTTGGTGAGAAACTCTGGAGAGCTAAACAAAAATATCGCCTAATTTAAAACTAATAAAGTTATTATCTTGGTGCATACTTTTTATAGAATTTTGATTTGGGAATCATGTGAATATGTTATTGTCTTTGAGAAAAGTGCTTCCTCAGATTGTCTATGGAGTACAATGTTTTAACATTGGGTTTAGGAAGAGGGACACAGAGACGCAGTCCTAGTTTATTGGTTTTATGAATGATGTATCAGCAAAGAGAACAGCACCAAGGAAGGAGAGGACACAAGACCAAGAGAGGAGGGGACCGGTGGATGATGCCTGCCAACCCTGACCTGCCCACTCCTAGGCCTGCAATGGTGCAGCAACCTTTTGTTTTTTTTTTCCTAAACTGTTACAACTAAGTTCTTTGTTTTATTTTTTTACTCATTAAGTTTATTGGTACATTTTAGGTGTATAGTATGATGACATTCATTATTGGGGATTTGTTCCTTCACAGGATAAATCTTGGTTCTTATTTTTTTCCCCATTCTCCTGCCCTCTTTTTAACCCCTCCACCTTTCTTATCTTTGACATTTCTTATCTTACAAATCATGTTCAGTTTAGGAACCCATTCAGAGATACAAACCTGTATATGACACATGATCTTGGTGGTGTAAAACCACATTCACAGACAAAAGGGAATTCATCTCAATGATTATTAATCTTATTTCTGCTTTGGTTTTGCCTCTTTATTTCTTCATCCTGTTTTTCTTATCAACTTTATTTTTTAGGTGCACATTATCTTGTTATATTATACATTTATATGAGCTACCTTAAATCCTTTCTGGAACTGGAAAGACCATGAATAAATATATAAGTCACTAAACTAGGGAAATGCTGACATATTATTTGTTTATAAGGAATTTTAATTGTCTTAGGGTAAATCTTCTGTGTTGCCAAGCATATCTGTATGTTTACCATGAACATATGTTTTTTTTCAACTAGGTAGTTTTTATTTTACTAAATTCAGAGGAAAATGTTTGTGGAAGAACTGATTAACTTTTTCAGCTGAAAAATATGTAATTATGGTAGAGAGAGAAGACCAGAAAGGAGGAGTCATGGGATTCAGTCTTAATTTTTTTTCACAATATGCTGTCATGAAAATATGGAGGTACAGTGTAAATATGAAGTGTGCTTGAAATATTTTAAGGAAGAAATTTTCTATTTTTAAAAAATTTGCCATTTCTCTGCAAAACAACCAGCCATGGGAGGATAAGATTTTTTTGAATAGTTCTCTGTAACTTATACTTTACTGTACTTTGGAAAATAAGAAAAAATCTAATTGTATGTATAATTGTAGATATAAGATTATATGGTTTTACTCCATGAGACTAAGAATCAAGACCATGTAAAAGCAAAAACACAGTATTTATTTTGATTCCTTTTTCTTTGAACAAAAATTAAATGAAACTTTAATAAATCCTTTCCTTGGCAATTTCATAAGTCTTTTAAAAAACATTCTTGACAAACAAGTTGGTTGACAACCAGGCAGAAGGCACAGTCTTACTTTTGTGATGCAAATAATAAGAAATAAATTTGGAAATAAAAATTTAGTCATGAGAATTTAATAAAATAAAGCCTGATGAGAAATTTGCAAATGTAGAGTTTCTACATTTGTAGGTAAGATAAGATAGGGTCAAGGTTGGTGAAAGTGAAAGTAGAAGTTAGAATGAATTGGTGCTTTTTACAAAAATTTGATATAAAAAGACTGACAGGAAAACTTCATTCTTTTCTTTCTCTCAGTCGGCATGATAAAGAATGTCCCCCATGTTCCCTGGTTATACAACACATTCTGTGTAGACTGGAAAACCTGAAGTCCACTGCTGACAATAGATGCCTCTGCTCTGCATGTAAAAGAAGTAGTAAGAGGTACTGGAGTAAAAGTAAGAGGTCGATTTCTTTACTGTTTCCAGATGGATATGCATTTCCACTATTTGTCCTTAGATGTTTCTTTGTTACTTCACTCCAAAGTACTGCTCTGCCCAGGAAAACTCACCTGGTGAAGAGATGTAAGAGATATGTGAACTCTTCTATGGATTTCCAGGTCTGCAGGTAAAAGAACCTTAAATTATTTTATTCCTTTCCATAACTGCAAATCATATGAGGGTTTTGAGATGACTCAAGAAAATTATACTTATCAATCAATAAATATGAAGCGTAAGCAATCATTAAATTCTGTAGATAATCACCCTTTGAAACTCAATGCTTACTTCCTTGAATGAACTGTTTTCAAGACACTAACAGTCAGTATTGTCTTTGGAACAAACTCTGCCAAGAACATTTAATGGTGTCAACAGACAGCATTTCAATAAATGTTCAGTAAACAAATATTTAGGCTCAGTATTAGAATATGAACATAAACCATTTTGCCAGTTTGTTATACATCAGTCCAATTAGCTAACAGTCACTTGTAATCAAGAAAATAGCGTAAGAATCAAAGAATGAAATTTTTTGGTTGTCTTTCTTACCTCAGATGTGATGATCAAATAAAGGTATAAGAAAATTGAAATTTTTTCCCTAGACTACTACACTGATTTTGGAAATTGAGGATGGGGGAGATTCACTAAGCATCTGTAATACTGCATTATTTATGAAATTGATCTTTGAATTTAGTTGGACCTAGAGAATAAAACCACAGGCAATCAGGAAAGAAAAAATGGTCTTTGTATTTATAGGCAACATTTATTCTAAGGAAGAATATTTATTTTATGGAGGATCATTAGTTTTTAGTTAAGATATGCAAATAGGAGCCTGTTATTTACGGCATATTTAAAAGGCTGTCTTATTTCATCTTCCTCCCTAGCACATAATAAACATCCTAGGAATGACTGTAGATTGTAAATAAAATAAGTGCAACAGTTGCTGATGAAAAAAGGGAACGAATTCTACTAGTTTTTAAAATTTAGAATGAGTAACATAAAACTGTATTGAAATTGAAAATGTTGGTTTAAAAAATGTTGTTTTCCCATCTGGATGAGTTGGAAGGTAAACAGAGGAGGGAAATTTTAAAAAAGATTTTAGGGAGAAGGGAGTTTTAAAGAGAAAGACAGGGAGAAAATAGGTCAGACCCAGAAAAGGAGGGAAGCAAAGAATGATACAGCTACTGGAAGACAAATATATTCAGAGAAACAAAGAGACAAGCATATGCAGAAGAAAACAAAAGAAAACACAAAGCAAACCATAGGAAGAGGGAGGGAAGGAGACTTGGAGAAGAGTCAGAAAAGATGTCACCGCAGTTGATCTGGAGAAGAAATGAGCTGATTCCCTGGGACTGTCTACCCTTCAAAAGAGCATTGTCCCCCACCACAATTTTTAACAGCACTTGAAAGAGCATTTCTGGTTTGTTTTCAATTTTCAAAATTTATTTCTGAAAGAAACTTTTATATTTTCAAGAAATTCTAAAGCTTTTGCTCATGTCTAAAAGGCATCAAATTTCAAAGGGTGATTTTTTTTTTTTAGAGAATTACTTTTTCACATACAAAACAACCCAATCACTTTATTTTGTGCTACGAAATTGTAACTGCCATATCTACAATTTTATCTTAACATTTACTTTATTTTTAGGAAACTTAGAAGATAAACCTCAAATTTTCACTTCGTTTGTTTGCATTCTAATGAAAAAAGTAAATGCAGTATTTAGAACAAAAGATATATAGAAAATGAATCTGCTGCTTCTATGGCT